ACGCACACACACACACACACACACACACACACACACACACACACACACTCACATACGCACACACACACGCAAACACACATTCTGACATGTAGCAATGAAGTTGGCTACTGCGTGCCAGAATCTGAGGAATCACGACCGTTGCGACAGATAATGGCACGCAGTAGCCAACTTGGGCATAGTGAAGGAGACACATAGGTCAGACCATACACACACACACACACATCAATGCACATGTACACTAATACACACACATACACACACACACACACACACACATACACACACATACACACACACACAGGTCCATACACATATACACTGATACAGGAACACACACATGCACATGTATACTAATACACACACAGACACATACACACACACACACAAACACACATTCTGGCATGCAGCAATGAAGTTGGCTACTGCGTGCCAGAATCTGAGGAATCACCACCGTTGCGACTTGGAATGACACGCAGTAGCCAACTTGGGCACACACACACACGCCAATGCACACACACACACACACACACACACACACACACACACACACACACACACACACATGTCGATGACGTCATTGTGCGTTTCGCCTGGCAGAGAGAAGAGGACAAAAGACAAACTGTACCATCATGTCGATGTCGGTAGCATAGGTGGAGAAGGCTCTTGCTGAGGTAATGAAGTATGCAGCGGAGGGCATCCACTACAACGGTGACATCGAGTTCTCTTTGCTGAAGGAGAGGGTGCCGAGTTACTTCGCAGTCAGTGTGGATATGAGATCCACAATCATGGCAAATGACGAGGGCTGTGTCAAGGCACGAATGCTCTTGCAACGCTTCAGAGAGTCACCATGTATACGTGTGGACAACGAAGTGGAACACAGTCCTTATAGTCTAAAAGGAGTGGTTCAGTGGATGTGCAACGAAGGGACGTGCGAAGATGGAGACGTGGACATGACAATGCACAAAAAAGGGGGAACGTATGCACCTGCAGATTTCAAAAAGTTGCTGGGCACTGTGGCGAAGAACTCCGACATGCTTGTTGATGGGTCCAAGGACGAGTTGAAAACTGGTGCTGCAGAGATCTTGGTGTTGTCCAGAATAAAGAACATCACACAAACAGCACCACAGGACTTCCAAGATGTTCCTGTAATTGTTGCAGATGGTGTGGAATATGTTCTGCTGGATCAGCTCTGCGATTTCATGAAAAAGAGTGATGAGGACAGGAACGTCATCCACGAGGCGTTGCACGAAGTGACAGAGTTTGCACTGCAGCGTAAAGATCTGATCGAATTTGTGCCAGCGAGAGGAGAAGACGACTTCATATCCAGCAGTTCGTTGTGGGGGGACTTATTGTCACGCGTTTTGGACCGGCTCAGTCATGCAAGTTGCGATGTTGAGAGACAAAGAGAACGAGAAGAAGGGTGAAAGTTGATCGCTAGGGAAACAAGTTTAGCAATCATTTCAGACAACGGTGAAACATCAGCAGCAGGAAAATCAATAAGCAGTATGGCAGTCGATGTGCCTCCCATGCAGATAGCAGACACAGAGGAGGTACTGCTTGCGGATATCTTCAATGCTAACATTATGGAAAGAGATCAGTGTGATGTTGGATTCGAAGACGCCGATTTGGCAAGTTGTTTTGCAATATACACAGACAATGAAGATATAGAAGAAGATGAAGAAGAGGATGAGGAGGCATCGTCTTCTGACGTGGAGGTGGGCGCCAGCGATGTCAGCAGCGACGAGGCAGATGAGGAAGATGATGTTTACTATGATTTGAAGGGGGCGAGTGGACAGATGTCAAAAGGTTGGACACATGCAGTTCTGAGGTTGGCACGTGCTTTCCCCGATCCGCACAATGTGTTGCGTGTTGTGATGAAAGGGGCAACACCTGACGGTGCTCTACATTATGCCGCAGTCACCACTATAATGCAAGCATGCAACAAGGGGAAAAAGTGGTCACGTATTGGCAATGGATGGTTTGTTCTGGTGAACAGAGAGGCTGTGCTAGCAACGTTACTGGCGTGGGGAATCAACCTCAGTTGCCTCATACACGGCGTAATGGCGACAGCTTGCGGAGAGACATTGAACCCCGGCTTGTCAACAGGAGACGCCATAGTTGGTGCTCAGCCACGACATCTCTCAACAGGAGACGCCATAGTTCGCAGTCAACCTGATGATAGACATGCATAGCATATAGCAATGGAGTAGTTGTACAAACAACCCTCAACTTGTACATCCCTCAACCACGGTCGGGTTCACTACTGTGTGCCATATAAGTATCCACCGGTGTTGTTTGTTGTCGTTCTGGCCCGCACTAGTGAACCACTCTCTCTCTCTCTCTCTCTCTCTCTCTCTCTCTCTCTCTCTCTCTCTCTCTCTCTCTCTCTCATATGTCTGGTTGTAGCTATAGTAGAACATGTACATCCGTCTACAGGTTTTGTGTCATGCTGCCTGTTGTTTGCCTCTCCAAGTACATGCGGTTCATAACAGCGTCAAGACATTGGGTGCAACTTTATTTCAATCATTTGACGATTGTTACAATATATGTCACAATTTGTTGCCTTCTGTAGCACGTGAGATACATCACACCCCCTATGATCAGGGTTGTCACGCGGGGATCCCCGGGGCCCAAGCCGGGGTACGGGTTTC